CTAAACAGAAGGGGTGGACATAGGAAGATACCAAAATCACATTAGTAAACAAGTTGCAGTGGCCCAAAATGCTACTAGATATAAGCATACTGCAAAAAAAAAATAACCTTGTGCAGTTCAATGTTTTTCAAGAGTTTTAGTGTGCCCAGGGGGTTATACGGGTGCAGTTTCCAGTTGCAGGCAGCCTACAAAGTCAATGGTAGGCTGAAAGGGGCTGGAGTCTGTAGCGAGTGGTCCCCGCGTTTAGGGTCCTGTGCATTACTAAACTTCAGCATTAACAAATCTCTTTCCATGTGTAACATCTGATAAATATAGAATCAAAGAAATATGGGCATCTTTTTTCTCCTGAAGATAAATGCTATACCCCTTACCTACATTGCTATCATGTCTCTATATTGCAGACCATCCCAGGGACAGTTGTTTGGAAAGTTACAGCGCTCCACCTCCTTCTCTGCTGCTTGGAAGTGGTCCAGCTCTCCCTCCCCTCACTGCAGTAAGAAGCTGAACATTGCGGCAGAGGGAGGTAGCTGTCTGATTGCTGCAAGGAGCCCATGAACAGACTCAGGGAAGAAGGTAAAGCATGCTTGTATCAGGCACAGAGGCACGCAGATTCTTGCATGGACTGATTCAAAGGAGAATGAGGCATTCCTACATGGGAACATTATAAGATATAACAATGTAGGTCATTAGAAAGAACCTTCATCCTCAATGGACTTTTATTTTTTTTTTAAGTACATGCATGCAGAAAAGTGTATATATGCTGTATGGTACCATAAATGTAATCCGATTAGCTGTCTATTGATGAAAAGGCGCTGAGCACTCAGGCAAATGATTTCTTTCAAAGCAAATGTCATTCTAAGGTGACATGACCTCTTGCAATTGCATGAAAGAACCATTGCTCTTCAGAGTCTCCTCTGCCGTGTCCCAGAACTCCCCAGCAACATTAAAAGGGAGAATCCGATTGCTATCTATCATTGACAGTTTTCTCTTCAGGCAATTTCAGTTATCAGCCAGGTGACGCAATAGGTTCAATCTGCACAAAGACAAAAAGCTTTATTGTAGCCATCTCATTCAAATGTCAAGGAACCCCGCTTATATTAAAATAAGGATCCTTATCTTGGTGGGTTAGGTTTGCTATTGATCTTAATGTCTTTTAAAAACCGTTATTGCACTCTTGAATCATCCTGTTTGTGTAGGATTCTTAATCTTCCCCTCTGAAGGGTGATTCACTGCTGAATGGATTGTATTCGGTGTTCAGTACAGCCCACTCAGCACCACAGGGCTTTTAATTCTTACTGTGACGTGTGTACATCCCCATCTTTCCAGCTTAAAGGGGATCAGTTGGGGGGCATTAAAACATAGCTCAATAATGTATTTTCCCCCCATCCGCAATTGTAAATGAGCCCTAACTCAGTCAGATGTCTGAGATATAGCAAATTTTTCAAGAAAAAACAGTGAGTTGCAAACAAAAGTTATCACACTATTTAAATGAAAAATATGAGGTTAGGAGATTAAACGTAATATTATTAGTAATGAATAAAATGACTTGATAATGAAATGAATGTAAGAACCATAATAATTTAGTATTCATGTTTAATTTCTCCTAACACGATATCTAGTAAATATCTTTAAAAACTTAACTTTGGGGGAAAATATATATATCTATTTATATAGATATATATTCTGTGTGTGTGTGTGTATATATATATATATATATATATATATATATATATATATATCCTCAAATTCCTATCATCATCAGTCCAAGGACATGTCATGTATTGTATAAAAGTGAAGGGCTTGGGTGTGGTTCCTCCAGTTTCAACACAGATGGGGACGTGGCTGAAAAATTCTCATGTCATGTTTTTGCAAAGAAATGTATCAGCTTGAAGGAATCTTTTAGTTTCTATAAAACTGTTATTTTATTTCTGGCCTGTGTTGATTACCCATTCCCATGCACTGGTATGTGGATGGAATATCAAAACAGAGGCTTATGCATATTCTTCAAATTCTCCTTTGTAGGATTTTAAAGGGAAACTAAATGATTTAGGAGTTATTATTATTTTAGATGAATACATTTTTAAATGTGTGTTTTTATCTGTTTTACTATATGTAAACAATTTATGTTTTACAAATAAATATTTTATGCATGGCAAAGGATTCCCTGAGCAAGATGATTTAACTAAAGATCTATCACAAAAGAAGTAGCTCCTCTTCAGAAACAGAGCCCTTGATTAGCTGCCTACAGTGCCATCAGGAGATGCTAGTCTTCATCAAGCCTTAACACAACCTATTTTGTGCATTCTGTTGTGATTTTATAAACACCAACTGCTCAAGACCAGAGAAAAGGGAAGGCTGTATCTGATGCTTTTAATCATTAAATGTTTCATGAATGTTTGTGCCAGGTGCTCCTTTGTACACAATCAAGAATCCTTTATTAAAACATCCAGCAGGAACGAGCGCTCTTCTGACATGTTCTGCACTAGGCACAGCACTTTCTCAATGGGAGAAAGCTGAGCCCTTGCTGAGATGTTAGGAGTCCCCATTCCATAACGTACATAGGGAGCAACAGAGTGTAAATAAATGAGTTGGTCTGAGAAGAGGTCCTGCTGCAGCTTGTCAGGGAATGTCTGAACAATTAATTTAGTCAGCTATATTGATCGTGGCACTGGGCTACCATAGTAATGCCCCTACTGTAATCCCATGACTAAATGCCAACTGTAATCGCCTTCTCCCAGATTCTTACTGTTCTAGACCTTCAAGCTTCCTTATGTAGCTGTATGCTCCATCAGCTGCCAGGGGCCATGTCTATGGTGTACACAGCAATGTTGCTCTGAAAGATGGGAGGTGCCTAACTCAAACATGCAGGAAGAAGAGAGACAAACAATGGCTGGTGAAAGGGCCTCTCTGCATGGAAACAGCAGACCTTTCTAACAATCTTACCTCCACTCAAACAACATCACTCTCCAGCCACCTTGCCTCCCATTTATACCACCCCCCTCCCCAACCAATTCATCCTGCCCATCCTATAACCCTCCCCAACCATCTCATCCCACTCAACTCTACAACACTCACAGTGCATCTCTCCCTTGCCACTTCACCAGTCCTCCCGTAGCTACCACACCTCCGGCATTCAACCCATGCCCCTATAGCAATACATTGCTCACCCACCAAATCACTCCCTGCTGAAAGCGCATCCATCCCTGGTCATCTTATTTCTTGGTCACAATATATTACTTGCAGCCACTACACAACCTCATTTCCCTTCACAGAGCATACATGTCTGGCCCCTCACCTCCTCTAACAGTACATCTCTTCCTAGCTACCCCACCACCTTGCCCCCCGTCACAGTACATCTGCCCCCAGCCACTTAACCCCCAAAAGGTAGTCCACTCCTAATCCCACTACATCTCTTTTTGGCCACCTCATCCCCTGCTTACAGCACATCTCTGTCCAGCCCCCCCCCCTTCCCATTGACCTCACAGTGCATTCCTTACCAGGCACATCACCCCCCCATCCCCAGTCACAGTACACCCCCATCTCCAGTCACAGTACACCCCCCTCTGTGCACCTCACCCCTTAATAACAGTGCATCCCTCCCTGGCCACATAAACCTCATCATAGCTCAATGTTCCCTGGTCACACTACCCCCCACTCACAGCGCAACCCTCTAAGCAATGTGATTGATTTACCACCCCTCCTATAAAACATCTTTCCAGGCAACTTATTTTCAGACCCTAGAGTTCATTTTCCACAACAAGCTGCAATCACAACTCCTGCTCACAGGGCATCACTGTCTCCAACCTACATTTGTCTCTGCCCCCCAATACCACCCTTCCCCCACATTCACAGTGCAACCTACCCCCCCCCCCCCATAAAACCGTATTTACCTATGTTCACTGTACATTCCTTCCTGACAGCTTGTTGTAACCCCCAATTTATAGCACATCCCTACCCATCCACATCCTGCTGACAGTTTACCCCTCCCAGCAACCAGTATAATAACCTCCCATGCACAGTTCATCGCTCCACACAATCTGCATCCACTGCCTGGCAATTTGCATTAAAAAATGTTTTCATTTTTCTTTCTTAAATGTTTCATACGTATCTGTAAGAATATGTTTGGGGTTTTTTTGGTAAAGTAAACAATTAATGGCTAATAAAATTAGCCCAATTTTTCTGAAAAATGACCAAAATGACAACCTTGGCTGGAGGTGCAGCTTTACATAGTAAATTGTGGAATGTTATGATTCACCTGAAACTGATGCCCAGGCAAGCTTCAGGAACCAATTAAAACAAAACTTTGCTTTGCCAATGCAGAACAAAGCAAATTGTTCTCTTTGATGCCTGGTGTTAATCGTCACCACTGTATTTACTCACCAAAAGAAAATTACTGATACTTCCAAGTATGGGAGTGCATGTGATTTACCCCCTTCCTAATGACAGAAATGGTGATTGTCACTACTGGCATTGGTGCTGTCATTTAGGGGTAGGGAAAGGTTCTCAGCCATACTAATTTGAAATATGAAAGAAAGAGATACAGTAATTTAGCAGTGGAGTGTTGGCTAGTTTTGACCAGTAGGACAAAATGTGGAACTTAGAGATTTGTGGAAGTGACTCACCAAAAACAGTAACAAATGATTATATGAAATAATGGATAATAAGTAAGGTTCCTGCAGAACAGTCTCTAAAATTTAAATTATTGCTTAAATTGGGCAGTTGTTAGTTAAATAGCTCTATAGGTATAGAGACCATGCAACAAATGAGGTCCCTCCATCCTCTGAGAACTAAACCTGTTTTGGAGTATACCTGTAGTGGCATGATGGGAAAATACCATTTTGCCAGCCCATGCCTGTGTTCAGGCATGAATTCAACCCAGCTAATGCCTACAATTCAATTGTGTAGCATCCTCCTTGTATTACAGATATTTAAGTTGACACAAAATAAGGGGTACACTGAAATCTAATATAATACTTGATCTTAATTTCCTTTGTACAAACAGGTGCCAACAAAGAAGAAAAATGAATTACTTGCTGCCAGTGGTGATTTTCTTTTTTGGTAAGTGTAAAAGCAAAACAATGACAACTGTAGCATAAACATGTAGACCTGATAATAGGCAACAATACAAATGGGAATTTGACACGAGAACCCAAAATACATTGGAGGTCCAGACCCTGTCATTCACACTCTACAAAAAAAGTATGCAAATTAGGACAAAATCCTCAAATGTACAGAATGAACCAAAAGAACACCATTTTGTTAAACATATAATTCAAACATCCCAGTTCAGTATCTTTAGGTGGAGTGAGGTACACCTGATGGTGGCCTGGTAGTGCCGGTGCTTATGTCTTTAGCCAGAGCCAATAGCATTAAAGTCAACGAGGAACTAGTTTTGATGGTAATTATTTGCCCTTTTGAGGGCAAGCTATTTTCACTGCTGTGGTGGATATTTGATAATGAATAAATACATAGTATAGTAGGGGTATCTGTTTTTTAATGGTTTCCAGTGTGTCATGGGAGATACACAAATCCCTTAATTTACAGGTTTAGGGGACGCTTTACAGCTATACATACTGTATTAGTACACCACAGTTCTAAGGAACAGTGTACTTTGGTGGAGCAGATTTGGCTGTGAAACTGAATTTTACTATAGCACTTCACCTTGCTTGCAGACAGCACCCCAAGTTACCTTTTTTAGATTAAATTAAATTTAAAAAAAAAAGTTTTTTTTCTTCCTGTAATTAAAAAGTGACATGGTTTCCCCAAGCTGTGGTAAGATTGCTTGAACTGACTGAAGTAATAGGCACATAAACCTTTTTTTTTTTTTAATGTCTGAAATAAAAAAACTTAAATTTTTCTTGTCATTTGGCCTCCTACATGCCTTTTTGCATGAAGCATTAACAGGACTAAATGCAGTGTTGAAAGCCACAGGGAGCACTCTTCTCAAAAAATTTGATTTACAGTTCTCATGTGTGGGTGGGTGAAATTGGCCAGTGACATCACAGTTCAATAGTTATATGCCTAAATGCAGAGGCACGTGCCACAGGGAGCTGTCTTACAAAAAAAAGCACTACAGTCCTCAGGCGTAGGTGGATAAAATATGGTAAGTTGACCACAGTTTGGCAGGAGTGCCAACAGTACAAAATTCAGAAACAGACAGGAGTATCTCCTTAAAAAAAAACTAGAACTTCAACTTTTTTGAATTTTATTTATTTTATTTTTTTGCTTAAGAAAGGGAAAGAGGTTTTTTACATACTGTTAAAGCATATTTCCACCTTTGCAGTCAAATTTGAGAAAACCTCACAATGTGTTTATTATGAATTCCCATTCACACAGCATGCCTAAGCATTATTTTTAACATATACTGTATCTTAAAGTGATACCAAAGGTACAATTTATTTTTAAGAAATAACAAACAGATCATACTTACCTGCTTTGTGTAATGGGTATGCACAAAGCAGTCCCGATTTCCATTCTCTCAGGTCCCCCGCCGGTGCTCCTGGCTCCTCCTTCTCCTGCTGAATGCACTGGGGGGCACTCATGTGTGCTCGCTACTGAGTTGCCTGTGTTTGTCTATTAGATACACAGAGTGCAGCTTGGCCCCACCCCCGCATCCTCCTTAGTGTCTTAGCCAATGAGAAGGTAGAGATACGGGAAAGCCACTGCTCTCGTGTACATATTTAGATCAAGATCGGGCTCAGGTAAGTATTGGGGGGTTCAGTAGCTGCACATTGAAGGTTTTTTACCTTCATGCATAGAATCCATAAAGGTAAAGACCTTCAGCCTTTACAACCACTTTAACTTTTAGATGCTTTTCAGGAGGAGGCAACATGGCTGACTGCAAGGTTTTATTTAACAGTGTTACAGTGAGCCTGCCCCAAGTTTGTCCTCACTAATATACAATGCAAGAAGGACAGCCTCTACATCTTTAACACTTTGTTCAAATCTAGTTACAATGGATAATTAAGACTTGCCTGCACAATACAGATAGAGTTAATTATGACAAACACAGCTGCCCAGCCTCCTTCATAAACAAGGAAAAGTCATTAGGATTTTTCCTTACTGGAGGGTCCAAAACAGAGCATCTAAAAAGATGTAAGGTGCAATTTTAATGTTTTTTTTTTTTTATGTTTTGCTATGTGAATGGGGACATGTAACAAATATAAAGTAGGTGTTAGCAACATAAAAATAGGTGTTAGTATAAATGGACTACAAAAGAGAAAGTACACTTTAAGCAGCAACTCATACCACAGGAAATAATGTAGCCCATCCTAGTCACCTAGTAGACAAACGTACTCTCAGCAGCGGAAGCATTGCAAAGACTCACCCACTTTGGAGGTAAGCCCAGCCCCATATTGTGCCTGTGCTGCCAAAAAATGTTTTATGACTGCTCTCTGCTGCCCTCGTCAAAGAGCGCTTGCTCTTGGATAGCTTAGCAGAATATCAGTGCTCTCCAATTTCCTCCTCTCCCTTCCTTGGCACCCAAATAAAGCTGACCAATATCCTAAAGGGAGCCCAGTATACAAAAAAACCAAGATACTGTCATCAGTGCCAGGACAAGGTCGTCCAATGCCCAAGGTGAAGATGGCAAACTGTCCATGGGACCTGCTTGAGGTGTTAATTATCCTTTGCTACTTCAGCAGCACCCCTGGCTGCTGTTTGAAATATAACCGTAGGTCTATTGCTATCCCTCTCACTGTAATCACCTCCAAGGCACTGATACTGTTGGGCCAATTTACTGAAGATTCATGTTAATTATCCAGTAGATGTACTTCCTGGGATCAGGTGACTTAGAATGGTCAAGAATATGGCTTTTCCTATGTCTCGATTCCTCACTGTAGAAGGCAGAGTTCCCATCAGTCTTTTGTCAGTGTGCATCGGAGTAGAAAGGGAGAGCTGTCAGTGTGATTAGGGAGAAATAGTTATGCTATACAGTGCTAAATGCAATGCAGTGCTATACAGTACTGCACTGTGCTAATTTTGCAGGGAGGAATAGTTGCTGTTATACAGTGCTATGCAGTGCTATACTCAGTTCTGTATTGTGCTACATTTTGCAGGGAGTGATAGATGTTGCTATACAGTGTTATGCACAATTCTCTATCATGCTACATTTTGCAGGGAGATATATTTGCTGCTATACAGTGCTATACACAATGCTGTGTTATGCCTAATTATTTTGAGTTGCAGTCTAGTGGGCTACATGCTAGTGTGTACCACCGCATTGTGTTCACAATGCAAACACCTAACCTCTTAAGGACTACAATTTTCTGGGTGTCATCAAGAATTTCAGTTCCTGTTCAGCTGCTACCTCTTGCATTCTTTGGTGTTTAGCTGTTTCTTTTTAATAATTTAACAGTATTTCACTTGTGTATATATATATATATATATATATATATATTTTTTTTTTTTTTTTTTTTTTTTTGATAGACAAAAAATAAATAAATATATATATATATATATATATATACACACAGTACATATACACTGCTCAAGAAAATTAAAGGAACACTTTGAAAACACATCAGATCTCAATGGGGAAAAATATCATGCTGGATATCTAAACTGATATGGACTAGGGTGTCATCAAGAATTTCAGTTCCTGTTCAGCTGCTACCTCTTGCATTCTTTGGTGTTTAGCTGTTTCTTTTTAATAATTTAACAGTATTTCACTTGTGTATATATATATATATATATATTATATTTATTTTTTTTTTTTTTTTTTTGATAGACAAAAAATAAATAAATATATATATATATATATATATATATATATATATATATACACACACACAGTACATATACACTGCTCAAGAAAATTAAAGGAACACTTTGAAAACACATCAGATCTCAATGGGGAAAAATATCATGCTGGATATCTAAACTGATATGGACTAGGTAATGTGTGAGGAACGTAAGGATGCCCCATCGTTTAATTGATATGAAAATTATCAACCTACAGAGGACTGAATTCAAAGACACTCCGAAAATCAAATTTCATTGCAGCAGCTCAGAATGGTGCTCAGTAGTTTGTATGGCCCTCACATGCTTGTATGCATGCCTCACATGCTCCCAATGAGACGATGGATGGTGTCCTGGGGTATTTCTTCCCAGATCTGGACCAGGGCATCACTGAGCTCCTGGACAGTCTGAAGTGAAACATGGCGGTGTCGGACGGACCAAAACTTGATATCCCAGAGGTGTATCAATTCCTTCATCCTCCAGGAACTGCCTGCATACTCTCGCCACATGATGCCAGGACATTGTCTTGCACCAGGAGGAACCCAGGACCCACTGCACCAGCATAGGGTCTGACAATGGGTCCAAGGATTTCATCCCGATACCTAATGGTAGTCAGGGTGCCATTGTCTAGCATGTAGAGGTCTTTGCGTCCCTCCATGGATATGCCTCGCCAGACCATCACTGACCCACCACCAAAACAGTCATGCTGAACAATGTTACAGACAGCATAACATTCTCCATGGCTTCTCCAAACCCTTTCAGGTCTGTCACATGTCATCAGGGTGAACCTGCTCTCATCTGTGAAAAGCACAGGGTGCCAGTGGCAGACCTGATAATTCTGGTGTTCAATGGCAAATGACAGTCAAGATCTATGGTGCAGGGCAGTGAGCACAGGGTCCACTTGAGGACACCGGGTCCTCAGGCCACCCCCATGAAGTCTATTTCTGATTGTTTGTTCAGAGACATTCACACTAGTGGCCTGCTGAAGGTCATTTTGTAGGGCACTGGCAGTGCTTATCCTGTTCCTCCTTGCACAAAGGAGCAGATACCGGTCCTGCTGATGGGTTAAGGACCTTCTACGGCCCTGTCCAGCTTTCCTAAACTGCCTGTCTCCTGGAGTCTCCTCCATGCGCTTGAGACTGTGCTGGGAGACACAGCAAACCTTCTGGCAATGGCACGTATTGATGTGCCATCCTGGAGGAATTGGACTGCCTGTGCAACCTCTGTAGGGTCCAGTATCGCCTCATGCAACCAGTATATATATTGTGTATATATATACAGTGGCGATCGAAAGTTTGGGCACCCCAGCTAAAAATTTG